AGGGCGGGCGATACGAGTTCAACTTTTTTCTGATTGCAAATCGCAATATTCACGTCTTTCAGTTTAAATCTTCAATTTAATTGAGAAGAATTTTGAAACTTATCTAAAATTCTTTAGTGATACCGTACATCCTTCACAACATTTCTATTCCTCCGTAACCTGATGAATTTATGGCAAGTTTATTTGTAAAGAAAATAAAAATAGAAATAAAAATTGTTTTTCTTGCAAAAAATAACTAAGTAAGATTCCGTTCAAGCACGCAACTGGGCGGATACCACCCTATCGTAAACCCTGCAGTGCGCACTACCATCCCTTCATACTTACCATACATAATAATTTTTTGCAAGAAAAATAAAACAAATAGATATATATATATATATGATAAAGCTAATACTGTTTAATTTATTGTCATTAATAACTTTTTGCGAGCAAGTTAGTAAGTCTTTTTTTAAAAAATCACAAATAATACAGACTAAAATTATTATAATATGGATATTTCCGATAGCGAACAATGTGGTATTGAAGTAAAAATAAATTTATTTAAAAAATGATAAATACTAATATAAAAATATAAATACAACATATTACAATATTACATCTATATTATATAAAAATATTTCTCAAATGAATAATATATGAATTTATTCTAAGGGTGGTGAATATTCATGCTTGAGTATAATCTGTAATAACATTTTGAGAGGTTAGTTGCTCGTTGTTTGCACAACAAATAATTTACAAATTCGGATGATCTACTCCCAGTAAATTGAAAATTATGATTGGTCGGAAGAAAACGAATTTTTCTATTCGGAACGTCATAAAATTTTTATAAACCGAATTGTAGGAAGTTAAGAATGAAATTTATTTTGTCTTGTTGAGATTGATCATAATTATCTGTCACATGTTGAGAAGTATTAACAAAGTTCGCACTAGAACTATCTGAGCCATTGGTATAGTAACTACCATTAATATTCATATTGTTTGATGCCAAATAATAATTCAAAAAAAATCTTGTTTTAAGTAAAATTCCAAATTTTCTTTACATTCTCTTGAGAAATTCAAATTCTCTTGTCATAGATCATTAATTTCAATCCCATAATTAATTTTATTGAACAAATCAATAATGAATTTGTAAGTATAAATTTTTTTATCATCAGATTGCTGGTGATAAAATATATGTAGATCACTTGATTGAACGTAATTTTGAGTCGAACAGACGGGATTGCTTGAAAGATGTGAAATAGTTTCAAATGAATATTCAGCAATAATATTATCTTGAATAGTGGAAGAATATTGATTCGTTAATATTATGAAAATCTCGTTATGTGTGCTTTTTGTCACAACAATTTTTTAATTTTAAAAAAAAACTATGGAAGGTACTAGATAGCAATCAAAGAAATAATTGTAAATTGGGATTATTATGAAAAGTATTCTATATAAGACTTCTCTTTATCGAAAGGATTATGTAAAGGAAAAAATAAATTGTTTTTTCGTTATTTTTGCAACACGAAATCAAATTTTTTGAAAAAAAAAAAAAATTCAACAGATATAAGCGCTGAAACAAATACTGTTGTAATTTTTCTTCAACTCTTAAGAAAGGGTTATATTGGATGTTATATACTTATCAGAAAAGAAAGGACTTTTTTTGTCCTTCTAATATCATAACTATTCAACATATTATAATATTAAATTTTGTGCAACCAAAAAGAGTAACGTACATAATCAACAAGTGAATCTCTATTAATAATGAATGTTAACATATTTATTTACGCCATGCTTAAAATAAAACGTTGATGGCTTTTGTTTTTAGGCTTGTTTCAAAGGACGTATTTTAATTTCTAACGGAATAAAGAATCCATTGAATATATTGGAAGTTACATCTTTCCCCCTATCTAGACCAAATTAATAATAATGAGTGGATTTAGTGCAATAGTTGATTGTATGCAGATTCGTGCGACAGCAATATGTAGCATTAGAACGTATTTGTTCAAAGTGAACTTTTAGAGGTTTTTGATTATAGATGATATAGCTTCTAAAATTCTTTTTTTTCTTTTAATAAAATAAAAATAAATATTAATTGTGTTTTTTTTTGAAAGAAAACAAATAAAAATAAATTATTTAAATTTGTTCTTATTGGCCATTTCTTTGATGACCACTTTTTTTTTTAAAAAAATAAAAAATAAAAAACTTCATTTAATCCACAAAAGATGACAGATAACCAATCTTTGAAAAAACGCCAACATGCATTTGTTGGAATTTCCGAACGTAATATATTTTTAAAATAAATAATAAATTATTAATTTGATCTAGTAAAAAAAAAAAATACTTTCTTTTGTTAAATTTTAAAATTATGTATGACGTGCTTCAATATATTGTACCATTAAAATTAATTAATTCTATAATCTGATTTAAAAATTATTAACTGTTAATATATTTACAATAACAGCACAAAAATGGGTCCTTTGGTCCTTTTCTTTATGTTTTCTTGCAGGTTTGTTATTCTATCGAATTATATATAGTATGATTTCGACGATCCTATTGTTCCCTTTTTAATAGCTTGTAATTCTTTTTCGACGCCTAGATACTTATGGAACATCATTATCCTTTGCTGTTAAAATCCAAAAAGGGCAATCGAGATTTAAAAATTCCGGCCTGCATTAGGATCCTTTTTGCCCTGCATTATCATGATCTTTGGCGGAATCCAAAAGGAATAGTAGCTGATTAAGTTGTGTGATTTCAAAATATACAATTTAGATAAAATTAATAATGTTATGTGGAACAAATCTTCCTTATCTCCGTATTTCCTTATTAGTTGTTCATGTTTTAAGAATTTTTTTTTTAATGTAAAAAAATTTACAATACATTATTTATATTAATATTGTGTATATTGTAGGATGATTTTTTTTTTTTGACATTTACCTAAAACGAAAAAAGAAATAATTATAAACTTTTTTTAAAAAAAGCGTAAGAAACTTTTTTAAAGTCTAAATATAATAAGGGTTTAAAATTTGAGCGTTCAAAACGCACCCATGTGATCACGTGGTTTACAATTAAATCCGATTGGCTAGTTTAAGCTGTACATTATTTTACAGTTGCAGATAAACTAATCTTATTTGTTACACAATCTCCTTTTAACGCGATCTATTTTTTTTCCTTTCTCAAAGATTCGGCCTTAAGTTTCGCTTGTTTTTGGTAAAGGTAATTAACGTATAGTTTAGCTGTTCCTTTTTAACAGTATTATTTCTTACTAATTTCCTTTCTTTTAGGTTTCTAACCTTGGGCTTCGTAAATGGTAATCGGTATTGCTTTTTTGACTTCCATTCTTTACTTAATCGTTCTTCTCTTTTTTTTCCTGTAGGCATTTCAAGTTATGGTTTTGTAAATGATAAGTTTCAGCCGTTTTTATTGTTTTTTGGTTTGTTTCTTTAATTGGTTGTTCCTTTTTTCAACCATTTCATATGTTTTTAACGGTAAGTTTCCTTTTCTTTTTGGATATAGCTTCCGATCCTGCTTCAGAAATATTTCGGCTGGACGACTTGCAAGTCTTTGTAGATGGTAAGTTTTGTTTGTTTTTGGCTTTACCTTTCTTTTTTTCGGTTTTATTTATTCTTCTATACCATTTCATTATTTTTTAGGCATTCTTTCCTAATTCCTTATTGCCTGATGAGAATTTTCTTGTAGGTCCTTTGCCCTCATGAGCAGTAAGTTTTGATCGTTCTTTACTTTTTCTTTAGTTTCATTTGTTCTTCTATACCGTTCGTTACTGATGTGTTTTTCTTTTTTTTTAGGCACTCTTCATTTATCACCTGGTGGGAGTTTCTTGGCTGTCTTTATTCTTGGGAGCGGTAAGTTTTGATCATTTTTTTTTGCTTTTTCTTTAATTTTCATTCGTTCTTATATACCGTTCATTACTGATTCTGTTTTCTTTTTTTAGGCACGTACACTTCTTTCAAGAACCTTTGAATCTTTGTAAATGGTAGTTGATTCTTTCGTTCTTTGTATTTTTTTCATCTTTTTTGTTAATTTCACTTTTCATTTAGGTGCTGCTTCTAATTTAAGAAATTCTTTATTGAACTTTCTTCTTGGATTTTTACTTCTGTTATAAGTCGTGAATAAGATTTAATCGTGTTTTTATAAGGAAGAGGTTTCCAGTAATTTACTTCAAAGGAGTAGAATTTCAAGAGGTTTATTTTTTAGGATGGGAAAGTTTGTTATTTGAGTGGGCATGTAAGATGAGGATTTTTGTTGACGAAAGTAGTCTTAGAAGTTGGTGACTATAAGTATGAAAGAATGGTGCGCACTGCAGGGTTTACGATACGATAGGGTGGTATTTGCCCAGTTGCATGCTTGAACGGAATCTTACTTAATTATTTTTTGCAAGAAATACAATTTTTATTTCTATTTTTATTTTCTTAACAAATAAAGAGAAGTCTGTCTTACTTAGGCGTCTAATTTCATTTTATTAATATTATGATGTAATCAAAATATACGGTTACCGAGAATAGAAAGATGTACGGTATCACTAAAGTCTAACTTTAGGCAAGTTTCTTAAGGTAAAAAATATCGTGGTATGTTGATGTAGTACAAAAATACAGTAAAAAAAAATTATGAACGAGAGTTACTCAATTAAAACTGAAAAGGCATGATTTGCAATCAGAAATGTTGAACTCGTATCGCCCTCAATTTTGCAATATTGAATATAAATTATATAATTTAACTCGTAATTAGAGAAATAATAAAATGTTCCTTTTATATCGTGTATAATATTTCATCATAAAATTTCGTTTATAAATGGAACGAAATTATTATTCACATAATTTTACCTGTTACTAAAAAGGTGGATTTATTTCGTTTGGAAGGATAAATAACAATTTTTATTTAAATGACATAACAGTTATACAATACAGGGTAAAAATACAAATAAATATAAAAAATAAAAAAATAAAATAAAATAAAATAAATAAAAAGGGATTTAATTAGCGTTATGTAATTATAAATCAGAAAATTTATTGTTGAAATTGGTTATTCGTAATATTTGAAGAAGAATAATTCAAAGAAGTGTTATCTTGTTGTTGAGAAGAAGTAGGTATGACGATAATTTTAAATCCGGGAATATCAAAACTAAGGATTTCGGATTGAGAAGGGCTAACATTAGTCATGTTAAATGGACCAAATGGAAAAGAAATATTTTCAATAGGTTGCTGCGGCCCAACATACTGCGGAGCATACGAGGAGAAAACTGGAGTTGAAATATTTTCGTTAGAAGTGGGCTGTTGATCAGAGTAATTGATGTTTGTATATAATGTTGGGAAATTATTATCAGAAGAGTTGACATTCACACCATTATAGTTAATATTTGAAGAAGAATATCCCGGTTGAATAACAGTAGATTGTGAATTATTGAATTCAGTAAACGTGGGGTCATTTTGATTATTTTGTAAAGTATTTTGACTCATAATTGTTGAACGAAATTTATGAACTTATATTATAATTTATAATAAGGAGTTTTAAACAAAATTGATTTGTTTTATTATTTTTTTTTTTTTGCGAAGGAAGAAATTTTGAGTCATTTTTATAACAGAAAAAAGAGCGTTTATTGTGACACAAATTCATAAGAACATTCAAAAAATCATATACAGTATTTTAAAATTTCCAATTTTTGCAGATCATAATTCAAAATGGAATTTTTTTTTAACTAATCATTCTTTTATTCTCAATTTTTAGTTCTATTATTTCTAAATTTATGATTCATTGATCCCTATGACTTGTTAAATAACTTGCCGGTAAATTTTTTTTTTTTTTACAAAAAAATTTTTTTTTTTTTTTTACCCATCGGCTGACCGCCACGGTTTTTTTTTTTTATAAACAATAAGTAAACATATATATATTAAATCCATTAAATTCAATTCGTTCATTTATATAATAAACAATTTCCATAATCAAATTTGTAATGTTTATTGTTTACTAAGATCAGGTTATTGGGTCCGAGAACTGGTCACAGAAATTAAGAACCGTACTTTATTAGGAAAAAATAATAAGAAACAAATTTGGAAAAATTTTTGAACAGTCATTGTATAAAAAAATTTTTTATACTGTAAATATCTGCGAAGGATTTTTTTTTTTAATTTCACTTTCAAAAAAGTATATGACTAATTTTAACCCAGGATGATTTAACCTGGGTGATTTTAACCTACTAGTAAATTTTATAATTATATAATTTTGTTCAAAAATGTAAATTATGATTACAATAAAAAATGAGACATTGTCAAAAAATATAGGAAAAATTGGTCATTATACTCTATAATATCCAAAAAAATAAATATTGATGTAAAATATAAATTTTAGGGGGTGAGGTTATTTAATCCAGGGGGCAAGTTAGCAAAACTCTTCAAAAAAAACATTTTTTATAATAAATTTATATAATTTCTCTTAAAAAGAAATTATATTTAAAAAACAAACCACATTAAAAAAAAATGGCATGCTACTCAAATTGGTATAAACAAAAAGTTAGTAGTAGTTGACGACGCTCAAATGGAAGATTGGGTAAGTTCTAGTTATAAAGTTTTAAAGTTATAATTCTCTTTATTCAACGAAAAAAAAATCATATTATAATAATTTATTTCTAAAATTTTTTAATCCAAATATTACTTGTTAAGTTACTATATCGCCGGCACTCGTTTTGACGAATATACTTAACGCAACTTGTACATTTTTTTATTATAAAATACTAATTTTTAGATATGGTTAGAATAAAAAAAAATTTTTTTACTTTTTTACAATTTTTTCTTTATTTGTGAAAGATTTTTTTTTAAAAAAAAAGAATAAATTTTTCAATTTTTTTTTTCAATTTTTTTATTATTTATTGAAAAAAAAAAAAATAATCGCGGACACAAACATCATTTCGTTTTTTTTTTTGTAAATCTTTTCTTTTAGAATTTTATTTTTGTATTCATCATTGAAACTTGAAAGTCTATTTGTATATACAAAGAACAAAGTATGATTTTTCGCGATGTTAATAAAAATTTGTTCTTCTTTATTATTATAAAAAATAAATTTTTAAGTTCACTTTGTTCACTTTATGAAAATTTCTTCCCCACGTTAATATTTATCGCGTGTAATCCAAATATCCACATATACACACGTTTACTTTGTTCGGAGCGAAGAATAAATGAAAAATTCCGAGACACAATCATCCCGCGCAAAATAAAAGAAGTTTTTTTATTATTTCACACGATTACGTTAATAAGAGTAAACAAATAAACAAAAATGATAATGTTAAACGTTTGTAAAGCAGATGTAATTAGAAACAGTAAATAAGATAAGTTATGTATTTTTGTATTTTCTTTTTGTACGATTATTTTTTATTATTATTCACTTTCAAAAAAAGTATTTTTTTAAAGTTCAATCGTGAAAATTTTTTGTAAAATTAAATATTTTACTGAATGAATATTTATTACCGCCGTTGATATTTTACTTTTTTTAAACAAATTGCAGCATTTAATTTTGTTAAAATTTGAAGTGGATAAAACGTAAATAATAAATATATATCATATAATCGTATTTGTAACCAAACATAAAAGTATTGTAAATCTTTTTAATGATACCAGTAAAATCACTATCATATTTCCTTGGAATTATTCAATTTTGAAACACTAAAAAAACTGTCCCGTGCGCCTTTATTTATGAAAGTTATATGTTGTGTATGTATGTATGATAATGATGATAATGACGATAGAAAAAAAATCGGTAAGACGAATACCAGTGGTGTAGGGTCGACCACCTGTGTGGTGTATGGTGATATTTAGCAGTGTGTAACAGTGTGTAAAATAAGGGGTGTGAACCATACACAGGTGATGATTAGCATTTCGGCCCACTCCAAATCACGTGTTTGGCCCGTAGCGTTATTTATCACCTGTGTAAACTGTCACATAGGAGACCATACACTACACATCTCCTTGACCCTACACCACTCATCTCCGTAGCACTCAAAAAAAATGCAAACGTAATGTATAAATGTTAATGTATGTAATGTATGAGAAGAAAAGAAATGTTGCATGAATAATTTTTTTATAGTAGGTCATTGAATAATTTTTTTTTTTATAGTAGGTCTTTGGATATATAATATATACATGATATAATTGATATATGTATATATATATATTCAAAAATTGTTCAAAACTCTATAGAAAATGTGTAGTGACCCCTGAAATTAGTATATCAAAATAAATCTATTTATCCAGACGGAAGGTAAATTATAAATGTTTTGTGTAAAGAAAGTGATATTCTTTGCATAAAATTTTACTGATATTTTGAATTTCAAAAAATTTTGATGTCATGAAGTATTAGGATTAATCCTATTTTAAAATGCCAGATAATTATGAATAAATGTATTAGCATATAAAGCAGCAATATTGATGTCAGGGAAAAAGAATAAATTCTATGTCCAAATCTAAATCATTTTTCCTTTTGTATATCAAAATCAATTTCAGCGATAAATTTTACGTTAAATTTATTTATACTGTGATAAGGAACAGCTCACTCCATTGGACGGGATTCATAATTTTTTGACCGCCCTTTCTAACCAAGCATACCATATTTGTTGAATACTTTAACGGTTATATGAAATTCATTTATTTTATCCTAAAAAAATCTGAATCAATAAAATTAGTAGTCATCGCATCACCGCCTAATATTTGATCAATTAGATGATATAAATATTATAGTTAAATTATCTTTTAACTAAAATATACCTGATACAGTCAGAACTCAAATGATTAAAAGTTTTTTTTTTTTTAAAGCAAATCCATTTATAATTAATTTTATCATTATATACCGATTTTATTATACCGAAGTTATATTTATAAACTGGATATATTTTATTTATTCACGATAAGCTGATTTTTTCCTAACTCTGTCCAGCATTAAGTTAGTCTTCTGTATTACATGCACAGCAAATCACTTGATGAATTATTGTTTTAGATGAATTTTAAACTTTAAGTGTTAGTAAAAGAAGTTTTACAAATATCTTAGCATTAAATATACTTCTTTCATTATGATAATTTTTTTGATCAAACACAATTAAAAATTGTATTATTAAATATTTTGTTGATTGGACATCTTCATAATTACGCCGTTATTGGATAGGGACGTAAAAATATCATCCGAGCTGCTTTGCGTTCAGTGACATCTAACATCACTATCCAATAAATACTAATTGTGATTAAAATCAATGTTAAAAATTTAAGCTATATTAATTAGAAATCTGTTTAAACATATGGAATCAAAGAGACGGAGACAGAGAGAAGAAAAGATTTTTGATTGGTAAAATATGAATAATATAATAATACAGTATTAAACAGTTACATGATTTTTTCAATTCCATACAATCAAATCCACCAAATATGAACCGCTCACTTTAAAGATAAAAAGGAGGAAGGAAAGTTATGTTAAACAATATACTGGATTTAAACAGACCCATAGTTAAATAATATTTTAAAATTACTTATTAAAAGATCATACTATTGAATAATCCATATATTATCATAGAGTAGTAATCTTAGATTGTAGAATTTTAAAATTATCGCAAAGTCCTTTAAGTTTATCATCAAGATTTTCCATTATATTTTCCAACTCATCAGTGTTGACACATTTTGTTCCAACAGTTTTAACATCAGTAATTAGAGTTGTAACATTTTTATATAAATTTTTTAGCTCCTTTTCGTCAAAATTACGCATATCATCAGCTATTTGGGCATTACCAGAAACATAATCGTCGATATCTTGAGAAGTGAATTTACATGGTTCTTGGAAAACGTCAAATTTACGTTTAATTATATAATCATCCTTTTTAAATATCCAATTTTCTAAACGATCAGCTTCTTTTTCATACCCACTCGCCAATTAGTTCTACAAATTTAGGGGCACGCTGATAATTTTTCAAAGCTTCATCGATTTCAGCAAGTAATACTTTTAATCTTTCATTATAAGATGCAACTGCTTGTTTTATTACTTCACTTTCTGATTCATCATGTCTTTCATGATGTGGATATATTATTTTTTCAGCCATTGAACTCCAAGATTTTTCTATACGTTGATTTAATTCATTTACGCGAGCGATAAATTTCTTTTCAGTGAAATCACTACGTGGATTTGATTCTTTAAGAATTAATTCATTTTTTAATTTAATCCCTTCAGCGAAAGCTGATTCTGTTTCATTAGAATAATCAATAACTTGTTTACGTTGTGTCAAAATATCATTAGCGAATTTATAATATTCTTCTAAATAATCTTTATCCCTTTCTTCAATGTTCTCTTGTCTTATAATTAAATGTTCAGGTAATGGCGTTTGAGAAGTATCAAATAATTCATCAAAGTTATCGGTTGTAGGAGGTATTATATTTCGTATGTAGTCTATTAACTTTTGATTGATCTTATATGATTCGGAAGTAACATCATGTTGAAGAAGTTGATCCTGATTAATAAACCAACCATCCTCTCTTTTCTTAAAAGAGATTGGAGCTTTCCATCTACCACGATTAATTATAAAATCATTAATTTCATCAATCAGTATATTCCAAAAATTCATCGCATTACCATATTCACGTTCCCATTGTACACGTAAAGATAAAAGATCCAATTCATATTCACGGTTTTTTAATTTCCAAAGTAATTGGTCATAGATTTTTAAAGTCTCAAAGGTAATTCCGATTGTCATGGTTTCAGCGGGGGACATATCAGTAGTAGTAGTTTCATTACCGGTTCCTATTATACCTTTAACGTGAGCCCTTAAACGAGTGACATCCTCAAAGTCAAAATTTTCAACATCTCTTTCTAATTCTTCGTATTCTTTTCGCCATTCATCAACTTGTTCTTGAGTAACAGGAGCTCCGCCTTCTTGAAAAGGATCGATTTTGGGTACATTTAATAAAATTTCTACACGTTCCCTCATCCAACCACGCATACGTACAGCCTCTCTAAACCATAAACGTACTTCCTCAATCCAATCCCTTACAAGGTTATATTGATTAACTATTTCATCAAAACATTCCTTATGTCTTTTATCTTCAGATTCAGGGGATAATAAATGACTATAGGCAGTTTTTAATAATTTGGTTAATTCTGAAGCATCAGCCATATGAGTATCTAATTCTTGTAAGGAAGCATCTGTTGTTGTATCATCCGTATTATCTCTTTCCATTTCAACTTTTACTATATCAAGTTGATCGCGTATACAATTTATGCCTTTTGCAAATTCTCTTTCTGAATCAGCAGAAGGACTTAAATATGCGGCCATTTGAAGCTTATTTTCGGCCAAAGTAACACGTATATTTTGAATTGTTAGTAGTAATTTAACATGCTTTTGCTTTAAAGCTTTCGCAAGGGCGGAATCATCATTTAAAAGTTCACTTTCCAATTCAGTTATTTGAGATTTAACATCTATAAAATCGCCCATGATCAAATCAGCATCATTATGTTCAATAAGTGTCTTCCTTATTTGAGTTATCTGATTACGCATACTTTCCATTGAACTGAGTAACTTTAATACTACAGAATATCGATCAATAGTAGTTTGTGATGAAAGTAGTTCAATAAAATTATCCAATCTTGTAAGATCATTATTAAGAATTCTTAATTGTATTTTCATTAAATCAACAATTGTTAGATCTTCATTATCAGTTGAATCTTTTATTGTAGTAATAATTTCATTTGCTTTTTTATCGAGATCAATTTTATCGTATTTGATCTTTTGAGATTCTGAATAAATCGATTTTATGTCATTAATTCTATCATCAATTATAGATGCAAGATTTTGTTCCTCATCAGTCCATTCGCGTTTATTAATAAAATAAGGTACTTCTATTTGTTTTAATCGATTTAAAGAAACATTGATCGATTTATCAGCATCAACAACGGCATCGAACCATCTTGCTATACGACGATCGTGAGCTAAAGCTTGTTTTGCGGAAGTGACTTTACTTCTTAATTCAAGTATTATATTATTAATAATATTATTAATATGATCGAATAAATCTTTTGGGGAACGAAATCTTTCATGATAAAGAAAACTTATAATTTCTTTAACTTTAGAATATACATTTTGAACCGATTCCTCTGCTGCGACAACTTTGGTATACCATTCATCTAATAAAGAAGATGAAAAGATCTCACAAGTTACAGATGATTCGATAGTACTACTACCTAAAGGATTAGGATTGTCGCCACCAACATAATGTTTCTTTTTAGATTCTTCAACACCTTCTAATATTGCTTCAACTCTTTTAATTTCAACTTCAACTTGTTCAACATTTGAAGATAATTTTATTACCCATTTTAATTCTTGTAATTTTAATTTTCCTAATTCTACTAAAGAATTAAAATTTTTCCATAAAGAATCAAATTTGGAAAATATTTGATTAAAAGAAGTAGAGTCCGTTGATGAAGAAAAAGAAGAAAGTTGATCATATTTTAATTGTTTATGACTTATTATATCAAGTTCTATTTTTGATAAATCTTTTTTAGAAGAATTTAAAATATTAAGGTCAGTTACAAAATTATTAGTTAATGGTAAAAAAGTGGGTGAAGATAAAGTTGAATTAACTATATCATCCATCCAAGACGATAAATCTTTAATAATTTTAAAGTATTTTTCAAAAGGGTCGCCTATAACATCGGTAGTAATAGTTAATTGGAACCAGGAGAAAAACCAACTGGAAGAGGTATTTAAACTTTTTTGTAAAGCATTATTCGTTTCATGAAATAATTTTTTTTTTTTCAACAAATTCTTGGTCAACAGTTATTACTTCTTCTAAGACACCATTTTGTAGTATTTCCTCACTATTAGTTTCTTCTGTTATCGTAAGGTAATATGACATTTTATTTAAGAATGAAAATTCTAAAGGGTAAGTTTAATTTTTTTTAATAAAAAAAAAAATGTTTATATACATATTTTTTTTTAAGTAATCTTTTTTTTTTCTTAAAAAACTAGTGTACTTTAGGTACAGTGAGTTTTTAATATATAAAAGTCTCATGCATATGGTTTAATTGTTTTAAATAT